GTTTGAAAGTTGGCAGTGGAGATAGGTCACAAAGAGACAGCTTTGACCAGTTATCATTTCCTTTATAAGAAATGCAGAAACTGCCAGGAAGGAGGAAAGGAAAAGGTGATGCAGAAGTGGTCTCAGACACTGTGTGCATGTGTGTGCGTGCGTGTGCATGTTTTTTTAAAAGGCAAAACCAAAAACAAAGCAATCAGTTAAACAGCAGCAAAAACAGCCCTTCTTCCTGCATGTTTTATTTCCTTTGGTTTCTCCTTAAACTTAACTCCCTTAGCAGGCCTGGGAGATGAAAAGAAATCAAGATGCGCCTTTGGGAGGTAATTAAAGACCACATATCCCAAGAGACTACTATGGATTTATGTTGACCTTCTGGGTTATTGGGCTCAGTTTAGGCACAGAGCGAGACAAACACTTGTAGCTGCTGACAGCTATGCTCAGAGTTTTTCCGCTTTTGGTGCCCCCATCCTGCTGTTCTCTATCATTTCATGACTTTTCTTTAGGCCATTTCTTAGAGCCTCTGAAACTAAGGTGGGAGTCCCATTTCTTATGAAGAGGAGCAAAAGGAGACTGCAAAATCATAAGCAATGAAAGGGAAAGTTGCCAAGTTAACACTCTCTCCTCTCACCCCACCTTATCACCCTTCTGAGGACTTGCTGCAAGTTTATACAGACACCTGCACCCTTCTACTTCCCCTCCCAACCTACTGCACTCCAGCTCTGTTTGAATGCATTTTTCCAAGATGACATAGACCTCGTTAGGGTTCCTGCCTTCTCCCAGCAAGGAAGACCAAGCCTGGCCCCATGTTGTTTGCAAGATTTGGCTTTACCCAGCAACTGAACAATGCGGTCCCCCTTTTACTGTACACTTAGGATGCAACTCTAGGAAGGCATGGAGAACAGGGATAGGGAGCTTATTTTGGGGGGGGGTGAGAAAAAGAAGGGAACTTTGTCATGCTTCAGGGTAGGCAGAGCCTCTTACTGGCTTAGGGATAAGAAGGTGCCCTTATAGGGTGGAAGCAGAGGGTACTGAAGGATGGGGCAGGGGAGTAACTATCACAGTATCATGATGGCTTGGTAGAGAAAAGACTAGGAAACAAAAATTTAAAAATTACTGAGGTGTGAACATATTTGGAAACTTAATGATTATCTCAGATCAAGGCTTTATTAATTATGTAATTAGTCCTGTATGTAACAGAGGCAGCTGTGTCATTTAAACAATCTGCATAGTGATGGGCAGAGACAATCCTGAATGGAGATTAGACATTCCCAGTTTTGGGCCCAGGAGACACCTGTTTCTGGGGCCAGGAGTGGGCCCAGGACAGTTTCCTCACTGCAACAAGGAATCCAGAGGTACTTCAGTGCAAAAGCAGTTATGCTTCACGGCAGTGTGTTGCTTTTCCTGAAACTGTGAAGATTTTTCTGAAATTGTCCTAGGACTTGTACCTTTCACGGGGAGTGGGGACGTGGGGGTGGGGGAGAAGGTAAACTCTCAAGGTAGGCAGGTGCCATGGCTGGAGAGACCCCACAGACCAAGTCTTTCCGACGTAGGTCGCACGCCTGCCACACCCATGGTCCATGCAGGCGCTAGCTCTAGTCAGTTGGCCAAGACTGCTATGCTGCCCTTGAAGCTGTGTCCCATGCTGCAGCCATGGTTCCTTTCCAGTCTTAGGCGAGAGCTCCCATCCCTCTTCCAGCTCCACCTGCTCTCGTCCAAAACTCAGTGTCCTGCTCCTAGAACTAGCCCTTAACCCCCCAGGGACGGAGGGTGGAGTGGAGAAAGGAGAGGCCGCATCACAAGGTGCCCCCGCCTCCTCTCGAGAGAGTCTGAGAGTGCCAGGCGCATGGACACCGGCCCAGACTGCCCTAAACTAGGGACGGTCCGCTGGCCCCAGGTCTGAGTTCCGAGCGGTCGGCTTCCCCGCGCGCCTTCCGCCCGCCTCCAGTCCCTCCCCGCCAGGTCCTCACCGAAGCGACTGTGGTCGTGGCGGGGGGC